GTACGAGACAGGCAGAAATTCCAGACATACCGAAGGTCTTTCCCACCTATTTTTCCTTTCAATGTATTGAGTTACTAAAAGAATTTCTCTGCCTCATCACTCTGAGTCTCTGTCTGGGCTTGGTGCTTTTTCAGTTTAAGTTTATTGTTAAAACCTGTGCATGTGCATGCTTGTCATGACTCCAGTGTTCAATGAATGTACATTCATATTCAGTAACTGCATTTATTGCAACATTCAATGTTTTGTATTGCCATATGGGCTGGAACCAGTGTTAATGTATGAATTATCACACAACTCAGTAGCTATTCATATCCAGGTCTCAGTTGCTGTTTTATGGTAGGCTTTGTAACAGCTGAACTTGCTGAATCTTGGTGGCTCGTAAGATGCAGTAACTATCAGAGCTTGTTTTCACGAACTTTGCTGCCAGTTGTGGCGATACCTAAATACCAAAAGAAGATCATATTTATGTTTATGTCTTTCTTTATTTGTTATGTGTCATATGTCAATGAGAGGAATGTTATAACAAAAAAAATAAAATAAGTTAATGAACATTGCTCATTGCTTTTTAAAACGTAATGCATTGTTTTTCCTTTTTTAATCCCTGGAGAAAATTATCTTATCAATATTTTGCATTACTTTCTAACGTGGCATTAGACCCATGATCATATAATCACTAGTTAAGAATACAAACCTTAAACTACAGAGCCATATAGACGCAGATCCAGCAACTCTGACGATGTTCTGTTTTTTCAGTGCACAAATGAAGACATTATCTTTTATGCTAACATCTAGCAATACACATATAGACTGATGTAATTCGCCCTCTTATGAACATATTTATCACTCTTCTTATTTGATATTAACTTGTCCCTCTGTTTCCCAACCAGGCATCTCAAATCAGAAAACATTTACTGCTGTGGGGTCAAAGCCTACAACATTAAAGACCCACAGATGAAGTGCTGTGCAGAAACACTGTACAATCTGACATCGTTAGACAAGCATGGAGGGGATGCACAATGCTGTGGATCCATTCTGCAAAGGCCACAGGTAAAGTCAGTGACACAAATGACAGCAACAAATCATTTTGTATTTTCTACTATTGTTATGCGCAATTCTGACAGGCTTCATCTTGCTCTTGTGGTCATTTTAAAAATGTTGTACAAAACATGATTTAGCTACTATAAAAGCTACTTTTGGCTACTCTCTTATTCACAAGGGATTATCACAGTGACTAGTAAACCTTGGCAGATTTTTATGCCTTTTTGTGTGAAAAAATATGAAGGATAATGTTTAAAGAAAGGAAACTTATAACTGATAGAAAATGATAGGGCAGGAGAAAAACCCTGAGGAAACCAGCAGGTCCATACCACTATGCAATTGAAGTATTATTTACTGAACAGAAGCTTTGTTTGAAGCTTTGTCTAACAGCATGTTAGAATGCATTTGGTCTCTGACTGTCTGTATTGTGCAGAGCTTAAAGACATAGGGAAGGCAAGGTAAGTTTATTTATATAGCACAATTCAACAACAAGGTGATGCTTTACAGAGACATTAAAAAACAAAAACAAATAAAAAGCATGATTTAAAATTGATA